TTAATTCTGGTCAGTCAGATTTATCTTGAAGGCATTCAAGATGACAAGACAGGTGGAGAACTGAGATGGGAGACACATACATCCGTGGTCAAGACTCAAGAATTGTTTATTTATTTATTTTGATTTTTTTTATATATTTTCTTTTTGAAAATAAAAGACATGAGGTATTTTTATGCAAGAACCAAAGAATATTGTAACTCATGAATCATTGTCTCTAGTATATCCAGAAACAATAACCCCTTTACAAACAGTACTATGTATAGGTTGCAGATGGCATCCCTTAACAATGAATGGTTGTATTTTGTGTAAAAGAATCCTAAAAGGATGGGGAAATACAAGATAATACTAAGAAACAATGGCAATCAGGAGGAAGATGTTGATTGCTCGGGGAAAACTTTTTGCTGCAAGAAACTGATAAACCGTTGAGCATAGAACCGGGGATCGACAACAGATATTTTCACTGGATTAAATTTCACTGATTTGTAAGCGTGTTCGGCTCTTTTTTTCACATTGTATTTCTGCAAGATATCAATTATGCCCATATAGAGAACAACATCAGGGACCTCGAAGGGTTCAACTTCTACTGAATCTGCCTCATTTTCTTGGTTGGGATAACAAGCCTGAGCTGGCATGTTTACTCCTAGTTGCACTGGTAACCTGAATATCATGGAAGCAATTCAGGAAACTAGATGTTCATAGAATTTTTATATCATATCCATAATGAACATTCTCACTACTTCAACTCCTATTGTTTATTTTCTCCAGCTTTCATTCTGAATAACAGAAAGAACATTCAAGTAGTAGACTGGAAATTGGTCTAAAACAATTAAGGAAAAGCCTTTCAACTTGAAATTCAGGTAAGGAGATGTTCATGGTTTTTTCATATTCAATCTTTGATGCAGCAAACATCCCAGGCAACAAAAGTCACCTTATATATGCATCGTAAATGAGAATGAAAAATGGTAGCTTTCGCAGCTGGGCAGTATAAGATCACCTTCCTTGTCACCTAAAGAGCGTACCTTCATTGTACTTCCTCTGATGTGGGGACCTGGTGCTGTGTCTACAAAGTTAGGTTCATGGACCACTAGACGCAAGCCTTTTCGAGGAATCAACATTCGCTTTCTGAGGTCACACCTAGTGGAAGCAGATTATAAGCTGCATGCATGCTATTCAAATAATAAATTAAAAGGAAACAAAGATCAGGAAGGAGTAAAACAAAATTGAGGTTCAAGTTCTTATTATTTGCATGTCCATACCAAACATCTCCAGTTTATGCTATGAAACAGTTGGATCCATAGGTGATACCTACCACACACATCAGGCGTGTTCTCTTGATTGGGTATTGCATTTGCAGGTTCTACGAGACCATTTAGTTGGGGAGGAGCAATGAAATGTACACCCAAAAGAAGGCTATAATCAATTATCCCTTGAGCTTCTAAGAAATGGCTGTCGAGAGGAAGTTGACTGCAAAATGCAATAGAAACAAGAACAATGATTGTTACAAATGGGACAGGTTCAGATATACGGTCAATCACTCACACCATGTAAAATACAATTTCTCATGCTTTCATTACATGCAGTCTATTATTGTGCAAGTAACAAATGTCAAAAAGAAACCAGAATGAGAACATCGAGAAGCGCAAATATAGTTCTTCAAATGGCTCTTACTAGCAAATCAAAAGGATGCTATATGCCTCTACTCAAAACCAGCTCTGCTATTCCTTCCAATACATGCATTCCATGTATTACCTATAATTTAATTTAAAGGGGATAAACATGGGATAAAAGGGATAGAAAAAGGGAGATTGGAAACTAAAAATTAGCAACATCTACAACATAAAAAATGCTGAGCTTATGCTTACTTTCAAAGTTAGTAATTACTGCCATGGCAATAGTCAACCAGCTTAAAGACGGAGCCAACAGCACGCCCTTAATATTCTGTTGTTGGCCTTCTCTAATAACGTATCAGTAAGAAGCTAACTTTAAGCACCAACTGCACAAAGTATTACACAACCTCCAAATGAGAAACTCACTTAAAAAGGTATTCCCGCAACAATTTGTCCATATGAAATTCATATGACAGATTGAGGTCTTTTAATGTGACATTCTCTCGAATCTTCTCTTCAGGTGTAAATCTTCCTCGAATTGATCCCTTCAAATCATAATGCCTATGAATACGCAATTCAGTGCAAAACATAATCCCCATAACCATGAAGCGTACCTAGAAAGAGAGGAAAACACAACAACCAGACCAAATTTTAAGCCAAGTGTATGGCAGTAAGAAAACCAAGCCACATTAGTCACATATACCTTTCTTCTGCATTTTAATGTTATCTGGTGGAGCCGAAAAATTTTTGTTATGAGAGTATTCTCATACTGTTTTACATGACCGTGGTATTTAGGCAGCATCTTGAGTAGAGCCTACATGGGAGAAGAGAACTATTTATTTATGTAAGTGGCATCCTCCCTTTCTTCTGTTTTATGTGCAAAGGTTTTATGTGCAAAGGTAAGAAGAGAATAATGTTTGCAATGGTAAGCAAATGAAAAACCACAGTATACAAGAAGAAAAAGAAATAAGTACATATAATTATGCATGGAAACTTTTAAATGTTCTAACCTTTAGTTCAGCCTTTTTCAATGTCTTAATGATAAATTTATCATCATGGGAGAGATAGAAGATGCTGCCACTTTTCCCAGGGGACAAAAGCTCCCTCAGACCATCATCACCACAAATGGACATCATATACTCTGCTGCATCTAACTTGAACAGCTCTCTCAAATCCCTTAGCCCAGTCCATTAGATATGTGCAAAATTGCCAACAATCAAAATTACATCTTTGAAAATACTGAAATTGTGAGAAGAATGCTACACAGGTCACAAACTAATAAGAAATATGTAGAAAACACTACAAGTAGAGAATTCTTTGTTCTTTTTCAACAAAATCCTCTCTAAAATGTCCTCAACATGATCAGGGCTATAGCTGTTTCTACTAAGGTGGTAAACAGTGATTTTATCACATACTGAAAATGCCCTCTATAAATATGAACTGAATCAACTCAAATAGTAAATGCACCATAACTATAGCAACACTCTTCCCACTCTCTTCCAGATGGAAAGCATCTTAAAATCATATCTTTTGGCAGTTAAATCTTCATCAGTAATAATCAGATGCATGATGTCCATGAGTTAAATAAATATGATGTCAAGAGAACAATAATACCTGAAAACCGTAGGGCAATAATCCTTCCAATAAAAATCAACAGATTTGTGCGGAGGTGTGAACTGTGAACCCCTTCTGGGGAAAAACATAGTTATTCTAGCTCGGTCTCCAAAATCAGAAGCTCGAACATCATGGTTAGGCTGCGGGTTTATCTTACCAACAGTATACCTGTGAACTTCAAATCAAGTATTTCATCACATGTGACAAGGCTGAAGAGCAAAATTATAGAATTAACAAGCATAGAGAGAAAGGAAAAAAACAGAAGGAAGGACTTTCCATCTGAATCTGCTTACCTGATACCAAGTTGCAAGTTCAGCATTAAGTAATAGCTATCATTGCCTCTGAAAATGCTTGCACACAAACTCTTTTTTGCTCCTTTTGAATGAAATTTATTCGGCTGTTTTGTGTTGTGTGATAGTTCTGCATAATTCCTCATTATGTCTTTAATACAAACTCCTTGCTTGTATTCCCTTTCATAAACAATAGCATTGTTATCTTGCACCTCGCTTTGATCATCATCAGATCCATGGGACATTGTGAATGAGGAGTCATGATGTATAATTTCTATAGCAGCATCAGAAAGGTTTGAATTAGCATCTAACAAAGTAGTCCTGTGTGACATTCGACCTGTACTTAAACTTCCACCACCTGATATCTTCTCAGAAATGCTGCACTTGACAATTGGTTTCTTAACCTCGAAGTCCACTGCATTTAGAGATGAACTCTGAGCTAACAAACCTTTTCCACTATCGTCATAACCCAAAGCTGCATGCCACTTCTTTACAAATGGATGTTTACTTCCGGCTAGGTAGAATGTTCCTTTTCCATCCTTTAGGCCCCTGGTCCATGTTCCAAAGTAATATCCTCCATCTGCGAACCTGTATATTCCAAAGCCATGTCTTAGGCCATTAAACCAAAAGCCATAAAAAACATCACCATTTGCCCATTTCATAACACCTCTGCCATGCATTTTTCCATGTTTCCAATTCCCAATATATGTATTTCCATTATTCCAAGAATATTTACCACTGCCTTCATGTACTCCCTCCCTCCATGATCCTTCATAAATATCTGAATTACAATACTCCCTTTTTCCAAGTCCATGCCGTATATTCATTCTCCATGTACCTCTATAAATTGATCCATCAGGGTCAACAAGTGTACCAGAACCATGCAGGTAACCTCCAGAGAAATCACCCTCATATTTTGCTTCTGATGGCCAGAATATCTGTCCTTTTCCTGTCATTTTTCCTTCTTCCCAATCACCATCATAGACTGTTCCATCAGACCATGTATATTTTCCCTTACCATGGGGAAGTATTCCCTTAAAAGTACCAACATAGACATCTCCATTTGAGAGCTCCTTCTCATCAAGCCTGGAAGAACATATTTCGTTCAGTGTACATACTTCTTGGTTGTTAAACTTGAGATGGGGAGCAAGCTAGAGAGAAATGAAAGAAAGAGGGGAAGGAGGTGCTGAGGAGTGTAAAAATACCTTTCAACATCCTCCACATTGGTGCATGATACATGACCTCGCTGTTCTGCATGACTTTCATGATCCTCATTTAAAAGATACTTTAACTGGGTCATCCAAGCACTCTACAACAAAACACTTCTTTCACCACCTCACTGCAAAATAAGACACCAAAAAAACAGTGCAATTTCACAGTTATTAACGCAAAGATATCAACATTAAAAAGGACAATCAATACTTCTATCAAAAAAAAGGGACAACAAATACAAACACCAATTTTTTTTCAATCTGCATGTGCTAGGAAAATCCACTTGGCACTTCTATCACTAACTTCAGTTTTATTATACATTACCAGATTTTCAAATGTCAGAAAATCCTCATGAGCTTCTTTTAGCAGAAGAAACATGAATACCAAGAATAATCCAGTATCTACCATGCAGCTGAGAAGATTACAAGCGTAGATATTTCAATCCTATGTCTACAAACTTTTGAACCGAATATATTGAAATAGATCCTCTTTAAATTCAATATGATGAGCACAGAAACCAAAATTTTTATCATATTGAAACCAAAATTCTTACTGCCAACATTTACCTACAAACTGCAAAATTTCAGTAAAAATTCCCAAACTTTGGGCACATTGAGGATATCCTAAGCCGGAGCTTAAGATCAGAACTACAATACTCCACAACTTACTATAAGATTCTCTTAATAATCAGAACCCAAACAGAGGCTCATGATGTTATTCCATCTTTCCTCCCAACAGAACACAACAAATTCATTAATAATTTAATAAAATTAAAAAAGGAAAAAAAAAAAGAAGGCAGCTTATGGAAATTCAGCAAACTCTAAATTGGAACTCACATAGAGAATTGATAAGGCAAACCAAGATGCTGCCTTTGATCATATTAATCAAGGAAAATAGACAATAAAAAGGTGTTTTTAAAAAACTCACCTTAGTAAAAGATCAGAAACTCAAGACCTCCTTCAAGCGAGAAAGTCTACAATGTCACGGTGATACCACGTGGGATGTATCCCAAACCAATTATGGCTTGACACATAATCATGTTGTGGGCCATAAAAAACTCAACGTAACGTGCCTTCCTCCTCCATTTTCTACCGTTTGCTTGCCTTCTCCATTCTGTGTTCCATCTCCATGGAGATACTTGCAGGTCACCTTGATCTCTTTTTTCCAAAGCCTAATTCACCAAATTACTTTGTAAATCCATCTACCCACTCCATCAATTTCTCTCTAAACCTTCATTCTAGGCAAGAAGAAGATGCATAAAACTTGGGTAATTAAATTGGTACTGATGGTTGGGTGCCATCAAGAAGTGGAAATCATTTATGCTAACTTTATTTTTTGGGTAATGCTCAGTACTAACTCCTTGGAAATTCCAGATCTTCTAAATCTTCATTTTTTTTTTTTCAAGGGTTTCAAGGTGGAAATCCCAAAATCTTCTACCTTTTTCTAGGGTTTCTTTTTCTTTTCTTTCTTTTTTTTTGGGTTTCAGGCACCTTCTTCCATTCCAACCATATTAGTATCTCAGATTTCCTTCTCCTTACCTGATCTGAAAGTTCAATAAAGCTTCTTTCTTTTTCTTTTTTGGACCATCAATAAAGTTTCTGTTAGTGAGGAATTTTATTTTCTTGGCTTCGAACTATCAGGACGAATGAAGAAAGAGAACCACCAAGGAAGAAGAGGGGCAAACGGCAAAAGATCCGTTTGGATTTGAGTTTACTAATTTGAAAGTTGATTCAAAATGGCACAATTGATGAATAGAAACAAATTAAAAATTATTTCTTTTTTCTATTTGATATCATAGATGAGAAATTATGCAGAGGAGTGGGGAGATTTGGGGAAGATCGAAAACTGAGGAGCTGAGGAGATGAAAGAGTAA